GAGGGTCCGCTCGACCCGTCCCGCCCGTTAGGGTCCGCCCACCCGATCGGGCCCGCACGCTGGGGCTCACGCGTGCCCACTTGAGCGCGCCTCGCATTTTTTAGCGTCCCGTTCTGACGCATCTCAGACCCTCCTTGACATCTGGGACCTCCTTGACCCCCCCCCCCCACGTCTCTGCGACCCTTTCGCCTACTCAAGCGGCGCGCCTCAAAGGCTCCCAGGGGTCAGCACGGCGGCGGCGACGGCCACGCCAGCGACGGCGGCGCCTACTTTTGCCCCTGAGCCTGCCCCACCTGCTCCCGGCCCGGCCCCGGCGAAAGCCAACCCCGGCGAAAGCCAACCCCGGCGAAAGCCAACCCCGGCGAAAGCCAACCCGGCGAAAGCCAACCCCGGCGAAAGCCAACCCGGCGAAAGCCGACCCCGGCGAAAGCCAACCCCGGCGAAAGCCAACCCGGCGAAAGCCAACACGGCGAAAGCCAGCCCCGGCGAAAGCCAACCCCCGGCGAAAGCCAACCCCGGCGAAAGCCAACCCCGGCGAAAGCCAACCCCGGCGAAACGAAGCCCGGCGAAACGAAGCCCGGCGAAACGAAGCCCGGCGAAAGCCGACCCCGGCGAAAGCCATCCGTGCCGACGGCAAAGTGGGGCGGGCCTCGGCAACTCGGGAGCTTGGAACGTAGGGCTGAAACTTCGCCCTACTTGCGCCGGGGATCCCCGGGGATCCCCGGGGAACGGCCTGGGACTCCCAGGGTGGCGTGTCCGAAGTCAGGGGTCCCCCGGGGAACGGGCGGGGACTCCCAGGGATCCCGCACGGAAGAACACCCGAGACGTCAACCACAGTCACGAGTGGAGCCCCGGAGCCCATCTCCCTGCTGCATTGGTCGACTTTGATCGACCTGTGATGGCTCCGGGGCCCGAAGCTGGGCAGGACCGCCCGGTGTGAACAAAATTGCACCGCCCAGCTCTCGAGGCAACGAATGCCCCATCTCCGGGGAATCCGTAGCAATTCTGGCTCGAGGTCGTTTGGACCTGCTTTTCTTTGGGCGCGAGCTCGGCCCGTGCGCTGGATCCACGCGGCCGTCCGAAGAAGAGCCGCGCGCTGCATCAAGTAGGCATGACGATGTACGAGATGACTGACATGCAGTACCAGGCGGTGTACAACGTGCTGTCGTTCGCCATGGCGAGCATGATGGCCACCACTGTGTACTTGTGGTTCCTTTGCGGTGCAGACAAGTTATCGGAGGCTGTCCTGATTTCTGGCCTGGTTGGACGTTCATCGCAGCCTTACCATTACTTCAGAATCTTCAACCCTCTTGGGTGGAGGCTTACAGCTACCCGCGGGCAAGCTCGTGACGGGTTGCCATGGTCGTAGAGGGCCCGAAGCTGACGGGCGTGCCCTCAACGATGCATACGGACATGGACTGGCTCCTGACGGCGCCGTTGCTTGTCTCCTTTTTTTTTTTTGTTCTTGTGTTTTTTCTTTTTTGTCTTGTTCTTGGTTGTTGATTTGTTTGTACTTCTTTATTTGTTTATTGTCTGTTTTTTGCTTTATTTTGTTTTTTTTTTTTTTTGTTTGTTGTTTTGTTTTTGTTAGCTTTTTCTTTTTGGTTTTTGGCGTTTTTTCTGTTTGTTTTGTTTTTGTTCTTTTTTGTTCTGTTTCTTTTTTTGTTTTGGTCGTCGAGGGCCCGAAGCTGACGGGCGTGCCCTTCAACGATGCATACCGGTACATGGACTGGCTCCTGACGGTGCCGTTGCTGTTGATCGAGATCCTCCTGGTCATGAATCTCGACGCCGAGACCTACAGCGAGAAGGCCAAGGCGCTGGGCCTGTCCTCGGCCCTGATGATCGTGAGCGGCTACTACGGGGAGCTGACGGTGAGCGGCAACCTCGCCCCGCGCTGGATCTGCTGGTTCGTGTCCATGCTGTTCTTCGTGTACATCTGCAAGGAGCTGCTGATCGGCTTGGCCGCGGCCACCGAGAGCGAGAGCGACGCGGAGATCAAGGGCAAGATACGGCTGGCTCAGGTGATGACGGTGATCAGTTGGTGCACCTACCCGGTCGTCTACCTGTTCCCGATGTTCGGCATCACCGCCGCGCAAGCCGTCGTCGGCATCCAGATTGGCTACTGCGTATCAGACATCATCTCCAAGTGCGGCGTGGGCCTGGTGATCTACCAGATCACGTATGCCAAGTCGAGCAAGGGCGCGCTGCTGGGCTGACCTGGAGCTGGACGGCCCGTGGCTCGCGCTCGGGGGCCAGCTCGCCCTGGAGTTTTTTTTCGCGCGGCTTTCCGCTCAGGTCTTCCGACTAAGCATCGTGGCAGTTTTCTTGGTGAAGCCACCGAGCCGTTTTTGGACGGCTTCCGTGAAGCCACCGAGCTGTTCTCGGCCGAGAGGGATTTGTAAAGCGACGTACGTGCCCTTCGACGCGGCTTTCCGCTCAGGTCTTCCGACCAAACAGGGAGCAGGGAGCAGGGAGCAGGGAGGGAGGGAGGGAGGGGGGGAGGAGGGAGGAGGGAGGAGGAGTAGTGGCAGAAAGAGGAGGAGGAGGAGGACGAGTAGAGAAAGCAAGAGTATTAGGAGAGGGCAGGGCGTGACGAGTCTCTGGGGGGTTCAAGCAGCCAGCGGAAACGAATGGGGGAGGAAACGATCGAGGGTCGAGGCTCGAAATTTGAGGCTCAGGGTCTGTCCGTCGCCTGTTTTTGCCCTTGTGGGCCTCCGAGAATCGAGGCTCGAGGCTCGAGGCTGTTTTGCTCCATTCTGGGGCTCCAGAGGCCTCGAGAAGCATCTGGTGATTTTCGGTGGAACTCCAGAGACCTCCAGGATCCGCGACGGGCAGGACCGCCCCCGCAGCAGCCAAGGAGGACCTCGAGCACCCCCCCCGCCGGCCTTCAACAGATTGAAGCGCCCTTTGCGGAAGTTTGAGCCATTGTCGGTCAGCCTGGACACTTGCTGGGCCCTGGGACCGCCAAAAGACGAGCCATGAGGAAGAGCCCTCCCTGACTTTGGATCCGCCGTACTCTGCCAGTTTCCCGATTCCATTTTGCGGTGGACCTTCAACCCGAAGGATGCGAACAAGCAGGGCGCAGATTTCCGCCTCAGGACGCGTCCTGCGGCTATCCCCGCAACCGTATGGCAGGAGCAGTGACGGCAAAGTGGGGCGGGCCTCGGCAACTCGGGAGCTTGGAACGTAGGGCTGAAACTTCGCCCTACTTGCGCCGGGGATCCCCGGGGATCCCCGGGGAACGGCCTGGGACTCCCAGGGTGGCGTGTCCGAAGTCAGGGGTCCCCCGGGGAACGGGCGGGGACTCCCAGGGATCCCGCACGGAAGAGCACCCGAGACGTCAACCACGGTCACGCGTGGAGCCCCGGAGCCCATCTCCCTGCTGCATTGGTCGACCTTGATCGACCTGTGGTGGCTCCGGGGCCCGAAGCTGGGCAGGACCGCCCGGTGTGAACAAAATTGCACCGCCCAGCTCTCGAGGCAACGAAGAACCATCTCCGGGGAATCCGTAGCAATTCTGGCTCGAGGTCGTTTGGACCTGCTTTTCTTTGGGGCGCGAGCTCGGCCCGTGCGCTGGATCCACGCGGCCTTCCGAAGAAGAGCCGCGCGCTGCATCAAGTAGGCATGACGATGTACGAGATGACTGACATGCAGTACCAGGCGGTGTACAACGTGCTGTCGTTCGCCCTGGCGAGCATGATGGCCACCACTGTGTACTTGTGGTTCCGGTCCTTTGCGGTGCAGGACAAGTATCGGAGTGCTGTCCTGATTTCTGGCCTGGTGACGTTCATCGCAGCTTACCATTATACTTCCGAATCTTCAACTCTTGGGTGGAGGCTTACAGCTACCCCGCGGGCAAGCTCGTCGACGGTGCCATGGTCGTCGAGGGCCCGAAGCTGACGGGCGTGCCCTTCAACGATGCATACCGGTACATGGACTGGCTCCTGACGGTGCCGTTGCTGTTGATCGAGATCCTCCTGGTCATGAATCTCGACGCCGAGACCTACAGCGAGAAGGCCAAGGCGCTGGGCCTGTCCTCGGCCCTGATGATCGTGAGCGGCTACTACGGGGAGCTGACGGTGAGCGGCAACCTCGCCCCGCGCTGGATCTGCTGGTTCGTGTCCATGCTGTTCTTCGTGTACATCTGCAAGGAGCTGCTGATCGGCTTGGCCGCGGCCACCGAGAGCGAGAGCGACGCGGAGATCAAGGGCAAGATACGGCTGGCTCAGGTGATGACGGTGATCAGTTGGTGCACCTACCCGTCGTCTACCTGTTCCCGATGTTCGGCATCACCGCCGCGCAAGCCGTCGTCGGCATCCAGATTGGCTACTGCGTATCAGACATCATCTCCAAGTGCGGCGTGGGCCTGGTGATCTACCAGATCACGTATGCCAAGTCGAGCAAGGGCGCGCTGGGCTGACCTGGAGCTGGACGGCCCGTGGCTCGCGCTCGGGGGCCAGTTCGCCCTGGAGTTTTTTTTCGCGCGGCTTTCCGCTCAGGTCTTCCGACCAAGCATCGTGGCAGTTTTCTTGGTGAAACCACCGAGCCGTTTTTGGACGGCTTCCGTGAAGCCACCGAGCTGTTCTCGGCCGAGAGGGATTTGTAAAGCGACGTACGTGCCCTTCGACGCGGTTTTCCGCTCAGGTCTTCCGACCAAACAGGGAGCAGGGAGCAGGGAGCAGGGAGGGAGGGAGGGAGGGAGAGGGAGGAGGGAGGAGGGAGGAGGGAGGAGGAGTAGTGGCAGGAGGAGGAGGAGGAGAGGAGGAGGAGGAGGAGGAGGAGGAGGACTAGAAAGAGCAAGAGGATCAGGAGAGGGCAGGGCGTGACGAGTCTCTGGGGAGTCCAGGCATCGTGGCAGTTTTCTTTGTGAAGCCAACGAGCCGTTAACGGCTAAGAGGGATTTGTAAAGCGACGTACGTGACATTCGACGCGGCTTTCCGCTCAGGTCTTCCGACCAAACACGGAGCAGGGAGCAGGGGGCCGGGAGCAGGGATCAGGGGCGAGGGAGGAGGGAGGAGGGAGAATGGAGGAGGGAGCAGGGAGGAGGGAGGGGAGGAGGTTGGAGGGAGGAGGGAGGAGGGGAGGAGGGAGGAGGGATCAGGGGCGAGGGAGGAGGGAGGAGAGAGGAGGGAGGAGGGAGGAGGGAGCAGGGAGGGAGCAGGGAGAAGGGAGGAGGGAGGAGGGAGGAGGGAGGAGGGAGAAGGAGGGAGGGAGGAGAGAGGCGGGAGCGGGAGGCGGCAGGAGGGAGGAGGAAGGAGGGAGGAGGGAGGAGGGATGAGAGAGGAGGGAGGAGGGAGGAGGGAGGCGGGAGGCGGGTGGAGGGAGGAGAGAGGAGGGAAGAGAAAGGAGTGAGGAAGGAGGGCGGAGGAAGGAGGAGGGAGGAGGGAAGAGGGAGGAGGAGGAGGGAGGAGGGAGGGTGGAGGAGGGAGGAGGGAGGACGGAGGAGGGAGAACGGAGGACGGAGGACGGAGGAAGGAGGGGAGGCGGGAGGAGGGAACAGGGGGCAGGGAGGAGGGAGGAGGGATGAGGGAGGAGGTGGAAGGGAGGAGGGCAGGGGAGAGGGGCGAACTAGGTGCGCTCGCGTCATATCTGACGTCCTACCCCTCCCTCCCTTCCCTCACCATGGCGTAGATCTCCTCTCTTATCGCACAGTCGGATGTCGAGCAGGGCAATGATCGCGAGAGGGTGCGCGATGCATCGTAGAGCACGGCATGGCATGGCGTAGAAGGGCACGGCAGCGCGTCGAATGTCATATCATGGCGTGGCACTACTTAGTGAAGCATTACATCACAAAGCATTGCAACGCAAAGCATGACATCGCACAGCGGCGGCCCAATAACTCAACGAAACGACACCGCATGATCACTGGCGATGCTTTTTCTTGGGGCATTTTTGTAGATTTGGGGCCTATTTGGAAGGACCGAAACGCCCACGCTGCAGCGGCGCACGTTTTGGAACAACCAGAGGCGCAGACATGGGGCCAGCGCTGCAGCGGGAGCAACATTTTGAAGGACCAGAAAGATCGGATTGCCAAAGCACACATACGATAACCAGGAAATGAGGCCAGCGCTGCAGCGGGAACACGATTCGGAGCGAGCGGAAGCACGGAAATGAGGCCATCGTTGCAGCGGGAACACGATTCGGAACGAACGGAAAACCGAACATGAGACCAGCACTTCAGTGGGAGCAACATTTTGAAACAACCCAAGCGAAAACCCATTTCCCAGGAATCCTGTGTCTAAAAAACAGTACGTGGAGGGGGGGCGAATATCTTCTGGACGTCCTTCGGGGAGAGGGGAGAGTATTATACATATTGTGTAACTCTGGAGAAGGGAGGAGGGGAGGAGGGAGGAGAGAGGAGGGAGGGAGGGAGGAGGAGGATGGGAGGAGGGAAGAGAGAGAGGGGAGGAGGAGGCGGGAGTCGGGAGGCGGGAGGAGGGAGAATGGATGAGAGAGGAGGAAGGAGGGAGGAGGGAGCAGGGAGGAGGGAGGAGGGAGGAGGGAGGGGGGAGGAGGGAGGAAGGGAGCGAGGGAGGAGGAGAGTGGCTTGAGGAGGGACGGGTGAGAGGGCCGCGGGATGGGGAGGAGAGAGGAGGGCGGAGGGAGGAGAGATGAGGGAGGAAGGGAGGACGGGAGGAGGAGAGTGGCGGAGGAGGGATGGAGAGGAGGGCTGAGGGAGGACGAGAGGGGGCGGAGGAGAGGAGATGAGGGGAGGAGGGAGGAGGAGGAGGGAGGAGGGAGGGGTGAGAAGAAGATGGGGGGAGGAGGAGGGAGGAGGGAGGAGGGGGGAGCCGGGGAGACGGGAGGAGACGGCGCGGGAGGAGGAGGAGAGAGGAGGGAGGAGGGAGGATGGGAGAGAGAGGAGGGAGGCGGAAGAGGGAGGAGGCAGGAGAGCGGAGGTGAGTGAGGGGTGTAGGAGAAGGGAGGGGAAAGGTGGGAGGAAGAAAGAGGCCACGAGGGAGGAGGGAAGGAGGAGGAGACAGGAGGGAAGGAGGGAGGAGGGAGGCGGGAGGAACGGGAGGATGGAGGAGGTAGGAGGGAGTAGGGAGGAAGGAGAAGAGGAAGGAGGGAGAAGGAGGAGGGGAGGAGGGAGGAAGGAGGAGGGAGGAGGAGGAGGGGGGAAGAGAGGGGGAGGAGGAGGGGAGGAGGGAGGAGAGAGGAGGAGGAATGAAGGATGAGGGAGGAGGGATAGGAAGAGGGGATCACGAGGAGGGAGGAGGGAGGAGGGAGGATGCAGGAGGGAGGCGGGAAGCGGGAGGCGGGAGGCGGGAGGAGGGAGGAGGGATGAGGGATGAGGGAGGAGGGAGGAGGGAGGAGGCAGGAGGGAGGAGGGAGGAGGGAACACCACAGCCTTTCTGGCGTTGCCCCTGAGATCCCACGCTGCAAAAAACGGCATCTCAAAACATCACGACTGGAGCCCTGGACCCCATCTTTCTGCTTCATTTTTCGAGCCCGCTCGATCTGTGAAGGTCCTGGAGCGACAACGTCCGGCTCGGAAAAGTTGAGGCGCCAGGATCTCAGGGGCGCACCAGCGGTTCTGGGCCAATCTCTGCGCCGACTCGTGGTCAGCCCCGGCACGGCAGCCGGCCCCGATGCCGATCTGCGGTTGCAAGGCGACCTTGAGTGATGGGCCTGTTTTTCACCACCGCCACCATAAGTAGGAGGGGGAGGGGGTCCTCCTCCTCCTCCTCTTCCACCTCCTCCTCCTCCTCTTCCTCCTCCTCCTCCTCCTCCACCTCCTTCCCCTCTCCAACTTATCGTGGTGGTGGTGGTGGAAAACAGGCCCATCATTGAGATCAGGGCCCTGCATGTTTTTCACGCCAGGCGTTTTCGTTCGCTTTCGGGCCCTGGGGCTGCAGCAATTTTTGCTGCAGCGCGGCTAGAATCGATGCCAGAAAAACACCCCGCAGAAAGGTAGGGTCTAAGGCTCTGGTCGTGATTTTTGCAACGCCGCATTTTTCAGCAGCGTCGGGTCTCAGTGGACCTCCCGAGACACGTTTGATGATACAAAGCAGAGGGCGGATCGGGTGGCTGCAGCGCAACATGCAGTGGCCCCCCAGATGTGGTCGGAGAGGGTCGGGTCGGATGGTGGCTTCGCAATGCCGATTCGTCGGCGATGCGGCTCGGACGTGGAGCCCGACCTTCTCCCCACCTGTGGTGCCGATGCATCGCCGACGTCGCCCATGCATCGCCGAGGCATCGGCGACCGCGTTGGCGCTGCGGCGCGATCCTCCGACGCCGTCCGCTCGGGCGCCACTTGGGGCGGCCTGCTGCAGCTGACATGGATGCAGCAGATAGGTGGTCGCTCGACCAGCTGGCGGGTCTCGGGGGACCTCCAGAGGCATTTTCAGCCCCAAACAGCGGGCGGATCGGGCGGCGGCGGCGCAACAGGCCGTGGCCCCCCGCTCGCCCTGCTCCCCAGATGGTGGGCGCCGCTGCCCCGTCTGCTGTGGCGTCCGAGCAGGCCGCCATCAAGGCAGAGACCTTGTCGACGGCGGGCCACCTCCAGAAGAAGTGCAATAATCATGATAATAATAGTAACTATTGTTGTAGTGCTACTACTACTACTACTACTACTACTACTACTACTACCACTACTACCACTACTACCACTACCACTACCACTACCACTACCACTACCACTACCACTACCACTACTACTACTACTACTACTACTACTACTACTACTACTACTTACACTACTACACTACACTACTACTAATACCACTACTACTACTACTTACTACTACTACTACTACTACTACTTACTACTACTACTTACTACAACTTACTACTACTACTACTACTACTACTCCTCTACACCATACAACAAACCACACATAACACAACTACTACTACTACTACTACTACTACTACTACTACTACTACTACTACTACTCCTACTACGTTACTACTACTACTACTACTACTACTACTACTACTACTACTAGTACACGACTGACTGACTACGACTACGACTACTACTACTACTACTACTACTACTACTACTACTACTACTACTACTACTACTACTACTACTACTACTACTACTTACTACTACTACTACTAACTACTACTACTACTACTACTACTCTTACGGACTACCTACTTACTACTACTACTTACTCTTACCTATTACTCTTACTCTACTCTAACTACTTTACTACTATTACTACTCTTACTATTACTTTACTACTACTTTACTATTACTATTACTATCTATACTCTTACTCTTACTCTTACTCTTACTCTTACTCTTACTCTTACTCTTACTCTTACTCTTACTCTTACTCTTACTCTTACTCTTACTCTTACTCTTACTACTACTACTACTACTACCACTACTATTACTACTACTACTACTACTACTACTACTACTACTACGACTACTACTACTAACAAGACTATTCATATTTGTGACGCTTTAAATTGTAAGATACGCAATAGAAAGCTATCTGTAAATCGCCAACAAAACATCGATTGGAATCCCGCACGTAAGGATTCTGTTTGTAATCCATACAACATGTTTTTTGGGAAATCCGCTCATGCAAGAACTCCCATGGAAAAACCGCGCACCAGGATTCTACTTGCAGTCTACACAATCGAAATCAATGTTTAAATCACCCACACAAGGAATTTCGCTAAATGGAGGCTAGACAAAGTTTTGGATCTTCGGAGTGGTAGTAGTAGCACGAATACTAAGTGTAACACTCGTAACACTAACAGTAATGCTACTAATAATACTGCGAATGCGAATAGTAATACGAGCCAGAAGAATATCAATACTAATATTACGAATTCGAATGTGAGGAACCAAGAACTACGTGAACGTACCCTGACTTCGGATCCGCCGTGATCGGGATGGTTTTTCATCCTGCCTTGAGATCTGGGCGTTGCAATTTTTTCACGCTGCCCGTTTCCGCCCGGTTTTGGGTTATCGGGGCCATCACAGATGGATCCAGCTCGAGCACTGCCGCAGAAAGATGGGGTCCAGGGTTCAAGTCTGGATTCCTGGCGATGTTGTAATTTTCCTGCGACGCCGGATCTCAGGGTGGGTCGCTAACTTCGGATCTGCCTTGTTTTTTGGCTGATTTTTGTAAGTAGGGTTTCCCGCCCCACTTTCCAAGCTTCTTGGCAGTCGATTTTCGCTCTACTTTGTTGTGGCTGTTTCCATAATATTTTTGCAGAGATAGCCGCTCTACTTCTTCTGCGGCGGAACAGACCACCCTGCTTTTTCGCATTGTCTGGAGTGCATACTCAACACAGCAAGGTCGGAATAGTAGCCAAAGGACGGCCGGTCCGAAACCAGGGTGCTTTTTCGAAGGTCCGCGCGGATTTCTTGGATCCGCGCTGGGCCCCTCTCCCTGGCGCGCTCCGCGCACCAGGGGCGGCGGCATAGGCGCCGCCACGGGGGTCCAGTGCCGATCCAAGAATTGCGCGCGGACCTCCGAAAGGCTACGGTTAAAGCGTCTAGTAAGGACGCGCGCCTTCATCTAGGGTGCTCTCGTGCCCTTGCCTCTGCGGCCTGTCCTTTGCCGTTTTCACTGGTCGCCCGCCGCCCAAGAAATCCCAACTTCGGCCTCCAAGGATCTTGCGTCCTTACCACCCGTCCTTAATTCGGCGGCAAGCGAGGGGGGGAAGTAAGAAGTAGAAGGTCTTCTCAGAATTCGGCGGGACTTCTCAGCAGCCCTCGCGCTCTCTGAGAAGTTTTTTCTGTCTTCGAGGAGGGTTTAGAAAACTTCTCAGAGGGCTGTGGGACTTCCGAACCTTCAGAGAAGGCCTTCCCCTTCTCGCTTCCTCCCCTCGCTCGCCGCCGATTGAATCACGTTTCGACTGTATGTTTCCCCATATCTAAAGCATGGGGTTCTTGTTATTCTACGTATCCAAAGGATGGGGTTCTTGTTATTCTCCGACCGCGCTGGACCAAGAGAACCCCCCCCTCCTCCCTCTCTGCATTAGACAATGATGATGATTGTCATGATGATTACCATGTTATGGTGAGAGTATGATGTGAGTAGGATGGTGATGGTGAATGATGGATGAGTATGAGTATGAGTATGAGTATGAGTATGAGTATGAATATGAGTATGATGATGATGATGATGATGATGATGATGATGATGATGATGACGATGCCGCCGCCGCCGCCGCCGCCGCCGCCGCCGATGATGATGATGATGATGATGATGATGATGATGATGATGATGATGATGATGATGATGATGACGATGAGCAGATGATGAGGATGTCCCGAGTGGTTTGCTGGTTTTAGCACTCCTAAGGGGGGGCCGCCATGGGTATTGCACGGCCTCCGTTCGCGCCCAAATGGCGGGGATGTCTCAGGCGGTTTGCTTGCTTTGGTCCTCAACATCCTCCGCTTTCGGAGCAGATTCTGAGGATGTCTCAGGCGAGGCGCTGGTTTTAGCACTCCTAAGGGGGGGCCTCCAGGGGTATTGCACGGCCTTCGTTCGCGCCCAAATGGCGGGGATGTCTTGGGCGGTTTGCCTGTTTTGGTCCTCAACATCCTCCGCCTTCGGAGCAGATTATGAGGATGTCTCAGGCGAGGCGCTGGTTTTCGCACCCCAGGGGGCCAGATTTCGAGGATGTCTCAAGCGGTTCGCGTGTTTTGGTGGTCAGACTAGTCGGTTTTCAAAGCAGATTCTGAGGATGTCTATGGCGATGCCCTGATTTCCGCACTCCCAGAGGGCCCAGATTGCGAGGATGTCCTAGACTCACTGATGCTCAAACTCACTCGTGCTCAGACTCACTCATACTCATACTTAGGCTCAGTCACACCCAGACTTACGCACACTCAGACTCACTCACACTTACACCCACCCACCCTCAGACTCATTCGTAGTCAGACTCACTCGTACTCAGACCCACTCAGGGCCAGGTTCATATCCATCATACTCATACTCAGACGCACTCACATTCAGATTTACCCACGCTCAGAATCACTCACACTCAGACCCACCCACCCTCATATTCACTCGTAGTCAAACTCACTCGTACTCAGACCCATTCAGACTTAGACTCGTATTCACTATAATCATCCTCAGACTCACTGGCTTTCGCACCCCAGGGGGGACAGATTGCGAGGATGTCCCAGACTCACTTGTGCTCAGCCTCGTACTCATCATACGCATACTCAGATTCACTCACACCCAGTCCATGCAAATAGATGCACATATGGGGAGCTCCACGCAGTGAGTAATTACTGTGACCGCGCGGACCTTCCTTTAACACCTCCTGCTCCCTTCTCCTCGTCCCCCCCTGATGACGCTCTCCCTGAGTATGATGACGACGATGATTATGC